GGAGTAGTCACAAATAAAAACACCCCTTAGAAGTCAGGGGCATACTGAAATGTGGAAGTTAGTTAATTAAAAGGTCTTCAAAGCAAAGTCTCTGCCAGGCTACAGTGCTACTGGCTGACAAGTCCTGATTATCATTTGTTACTATTGAAGTAATTGAAGTAAGTAATACTATTGAAGTATTAATGTTTTGCAATTGTCAGTGCACAGGTCTAAAGATAGTACAAAACAAACCTGTTATTAAAATGCACAATACACAGTCTTGCAGACTAGGGTGAAGTCAGAATATACAGACATCGGTCCCAAATCGTTGTATTTTAGAAAACTTTGAATGGCAAACTGTAACGTTACGTGGCGCAGCATGATTTTGAAGCTGTTGGGTGCCACGAATAGACTTGAGTGTGCATACAGTCATAATTTATGAATCATAACCACCCACCTGACTTCACTGGAGCTATAATAATCTATAATCTCTGAAAATATTGGCCTGACGCTTTACTATTGGGGGCTCTGTCAGCTAGCTATACTGTTGGCAAATCAAATCTATTCAGACGGGCTTAGCCAACGTTACGTATTTAGATGGGAGAGCATAAGAAGAGAGAATAATTAAGTTCACTTGTCACTGAGTTTAAGATGTTAAATTAGTTATCTTACCCAATAAACGACCTGTTGCTCGCCATGATACAGCTTCGCTCGCTCTTCTGTCAGACTGGCGGGGATTCCGGGGGAAAGTAGTGGGCGTGGTCGACCTGTGACTTCAATCGAGAGTGACCAATAGAAAAAGGCCTTTCATCCTGGTGGGTAGAGACCGCCCACTGAGAGACAGCTTCACTCGCAAGCAAAACTTTTAGACCCGCAAAAAAAGACGGCAGAAAAGAGAGCAACATTTGTGGTTTCGTGATGAAAAGTGTTTGAAGTGCACAAAGAAAAATGTGATTTTTCAAAGATTTACACGCACTGCAAATTATTTTGATTTCAATTTCTTTATTTTTGAGCCTTAAGAAGTTATTTTGTTTTCAATTTCTTTATTTTTGAGCCTTAAGAAGAATTGTTTTGCAAACTTTTATTTTTTAATTACAAAATATTTAGTTTTGCTCTCAAACACAGTATGGTTGATTGAATAAAAAAGACACAAAATAAACTCCATACCAAAACAACCGCATAGCTGCTCATTAGTGTAGATACATGTTGATTTTATCAGACGTTGCCACGATTATAAATGAGAGTGACTCCTGGTTAACATGTATTAAAAGGGGTCGTGTTTAGTCGCTATTTAGTGTGGTATTTTTTGACATTATTCACTCATCATGACAGTAAAATAGGGCATTCTAAGTCAATATACTGCAGTATTTCCTCTCTCAATCAGTAGAAAATATGGTTAACACCCGGTCATGCACGGAAAAAATAATACCGTCATGTACCGTGAAACCGGTATAATTTTGAAAAATACCGTGATATAAATTTTTGGTCATACCACCCTGCACTAGCGAAACTACTTTGTTTGGTCTTCCAAAAGAGGACACAACTAGAAATCAGTGGTTAAGTTGTATTTACAACACTGTTACACATCAGTTCAACCCAAATATTCAGATGTGTGCAGCACATTTTATGGAGGACTGTTTCCTGATCCTGGTAGAGTAGACTACAATGCCGGCTGTTCTGACTCAGAGACTGTAAGTAAGTTTTTTATATGAAAGAATTTGCCACTGACGATTCAAACGCGAGTTTTGAGCAGTGTATCGCTTGTCATTTCTCCGATCACAAATGCAGACATGGTTTTATGTATGTCACATGGTTTTATGTATGGTTTTAAAGACAGTATATGTCATTATAATCCGTCCCCACTGGATGCAACAAATGCCTTGTTTATAATGGGTTTTAATGTTTTTGTCTCGTCGCTCCGGCCGGACAGGGCATCATCACAGTACGGTAGGGGCGTAACATTTCCGTCACACGCTTGAGGTATTCGGCCAATCACAACGCACTGGATAGCTGGCCAATCACAGCACACCTCGCTTTT